GTAATTCTACCTCATCGTATTCTCTCTCGTGCGTCTCGTCTTCGACTCGATCACTTGACGACCGGCGCTCTGCCATTTAATATCGTATACTACATCTCTTCTACTGAGGACCTCAGCTCTCGGCGCTGCATCCCTCGCGCCGTACCTCGCACCCTCTCGTAGTCCTTACAGTTAGCCATGTTGTGGCAGGTGCAAGGATTGGACCACTTAGTGTGAAGTGGTGTTTACGTTTTCGATTTTGGATTGTTCTGGGTGTTGTCTTAGACGCTTGAGCACGCCATAATGTATTTGATTGGGTTCTTGGCCTGTTCTCGACTCATCGAAGGCATACGTGCACAGGCATGGGGTAGTGCTTTATGCATTCTATTTTTGAGTCATGTAGCTATGGCTTCTGCGTCCCGTGGTCGCTGGTGGGGTTGTTCTTGCATCGCTGGTGTGCGCATTTTGCCATGGTAGTCGCTAGGCTAGTGTGTTGAAATGCGCTGACCCGCGCGGTCAGGAACGAGCTCGCAAGCTCGGGCGCGCGAGTAGCCGGGGGCCGGAGGCCCCTATCGTAGTATATAACGACCCCGCGCGATGTACGTACCGCACACGATTGTCCCTTACGGGCATCGCTAGCTCGTGGACAAACGCGCTCGCCGCGCCGTCGCACCGGTTGTTCCAACAAGAACAACTCCAGTCAGAGACTGCCAAGTTGAGCCACCAAGACGCGCTACACGGCCTGATGAAGCACATAACCAGTTCATTATGAGTCGAGTCTGCTTGTCCCCTCTTACTATCATGATCATGAAAGAAGTCGCCTTCTGAGGCCGCCAAAAACGCTGCGCTGGCTGGTACCACTATATCGTGAGGCGTGCTTCCCGGGTCCCCAAGAGGCGATCTTGCATATACACTCTCCGGGCCTTCGAGCTTTCTTGCGGTGCAATTGCACATTGTCTTCCCTTGCGCAGACTCAGACAACCTGCCCGCGACCCAGGCATTATGCCGGGCTTGAGGAAGCGACACGCGCCGATTGGGGGGCCGCGAACCCCGACCCACGGCGTACGTGCTCATAGGGCATCCGTCCTGGCGCCAGGGTCACGTTCAGCTCGGACATGACTGAGTCTGATATCCATGCTGTACAGATCAAGTCATCCCGTCAACCGCGGTGCACAAGGACGTTGAGAGCCGATGAGCATGGTGCGTGCACGAGCCCAATTGCACAGCTGTATGCTTACGCCGCGCTCATGCATGATTGCGCAAGTCTATTTCGTCCTGCCGTCTGCCATTCACGGCCAGGCAAGAGGCCCATTATTCGATGCAGGTGTCTCGAACCCGCTCTAGATTCATAGTCTGAGCGTCATCCGCTCGGCCGCAAGTCGGGCGGCGTCAGTCTGGTAAGGCCGTATTGGCCAGATGTCCATATCCATGACGATGGGCTACCTGTCACCAGATCCTGTGGCATGAGCTGACTACACGCTCTCGCAGTGGCGGTCCTGCACACTATCCTTTGCGACGCGATCACAATGAGCTTGAAGGTTATCGGTCGTGGCTTGGAAGGCTTCCCCTCTGGCGAGAAGCAAGAACGTCCAGCATTCTTGGTACCATCTCAGCAAAGCAAGCTCGAAGGCGCTCCTTAGGCTCGATTGGCGGCACCTACAAGCCGACAAGTTTTTTAAACGATGAGCTCATGAAATACTGGTGCTATGATGAGTCTTCGCATTATCTGCGGTCTGCAGTACAGACTCGTAGAATGCACCATCGTGCAGGATGCCGATCACTGCACAAGTTCTAGCTCGCACGGCCGAACGAACCACGGCCGATCTTACAGCCGATATACAGGATGGCGGACGTGATCACGAGCATCAAGCCCAAGGGCGCGTTGCTGCAGCAGAAGCACCAGAGAGAAGGCGGCCTCGAGTTATCGAATTCGCGGTGAAAAGCTGTAAAACAATAAGGACCTCCCGCCATTTGCCCTACTTACATGGGGCGGCTCCTGTACTGTAGAATTTATCAATCACGGCTTGGGGAACGGACTCATCTTTTGCTTGGATGCCTCTGTCCAATCACCGTCAGATACAGACTCGGAGGGCACACTCAAGCAGTGACGCATCCCTTGTCACTTGTGCGCCTTGATCAACAGGTTGAACACCGATGAGCTCTCAGAGAAGTGCACTTGTTAAGGTGATGGGACAGTTTATTATTATTATTTTGTAAAATCCAGTTTTATATGGACAGTAGTTATATATGGGGAACACTAGTAGCAGTCATGGAACAATCGTGAGCAACAAGATCGAGAAATTAAACTAGTACAACCGACAGCGGCCAAAGTCATAAATAGACCCATTTTCTAAGCATGAAACGTATCAAACATCCAGAGTCCCGATGCCAAGCCGCAAGTTAGAACAGAAGGCCAGTTCCGTACCTCGACACATAGGCTGCACCTACTTCGTCTTTAACTTTGCCTTCGACTTTGCCTTTGACTTTGCCTTATTCTTAGTGCTAGACGTAGTCCCTGAGGTCGATTGGCCGGTCGCAGTCTTTGATGCTGCAGCCGGAGCTGATGACGATGATGCGGTCTTGCTCGTCATGCCCTTCTTCAAATTGTACTCTGTCCCCGTATATCGGACGGGAGGAGCACGCTTACGCTGCGGACGAGTAGAGCGTCCTTCGACAAGGGGCTCTGTCGAGATTTGAGGGACGGATGGACCGGTAGTCTTGTCCACGGATCGTCCAGCGTCGGGGTCTTCGACAACTACGTTTTGCGCACCATCCTTGGCAGTTGCCTCTTCGGCGATGTCTCCGACGCCCACCTCTCGAGCTTGGCCCTCGAAGTCGGACCCCCGGTCAGTTGCATCTGAATTTCGTCCCGTGTTGGTACCATTATTGTTATTGGTAGCAACGTCCCAACCCTCGGCAGTCGGGATCTCACATGGATTCTCGACCTCTTGTCGTGGGTCCTTGCGCAGGATGTCGATTTCAATGTCCTTTAGACGGAGGTTATCGCGAATTGTTATGAAGCTCTTTATGAAGATATTACAGAGGAGGTTGTGGCCGATTGTGTGACGGATTGCGTCTAGATCCTCCTCAGCCTTGTAATAACACTCGACTAGTTTTGCCCTGGTCTTGTTGAGCTCGTTGGCAATCCCCCGCATGGCGACATGTAAGTGGATAATTTCCGTCTCCAGGGCAAGGTCGTCTTTAAGAACAGCTAGTCTCTCGTGCGGTGACGTGGTCAGCAAGTCAGCGTACCATTTCTGAACTTCGTAGCTTCCCCGCTGCAACGCATCCATGGATGGGGGTTCGCCATCAACTTTGACCACCGACCTGTTGAAGATGAAGTATATCGCCACCCACCAAAGGGATTCAATGTCATGAAGGGCGTTGTACCGGAATGGCCTGATGGTAGTACTCTTACTGGAGGTCGTCTTGAGCTTACCAGTGGTCTCAGGATTACCATGTTGTGATGCATTAACCAGGTCCCACGCGACTTGACAGTCAGCATGTGTCATTGGAGGCTCGGCTTCTTCCGCCTTTGCTTTCAGTGATTTTGACGAGGTAAATCTGTACTTCAGATCATAGACTTCGACTGACATGAACGATCTAGTTCCCTGTTCACAGGAGACGGCGATAAGCAATGCAAACTGTGAACGTCGTCAGACACTCACAGTCCGGATTTCGTGTCCCAAACAGTCATCCATCGGCTTTGCATATTCGAGATCTGAGAGCTTGCAATACAGCACTCCATTCAGAATGAAGCCGAGGAGGTTGCCTATGCTGGTGTCGCGATGTACCCATCCAAGATCATGCAAGGCCATCAGTGCTGTACAAGCCAACAATGAGTTCTGACACCAAGTGCGACAACACGTTACGAACTTACCAAGTGCAGCATGCACGAGAATGGCAAAGACTTCCTTAAGCGAGGTGTATTCATGAATCGGCTTGCATACCTCCTTGAACACGATACGGTAATGAACCTTTGGATGGTACGTCTCGATCTTCTGTACGGACGGTGTCGTCAGTTCCTCTGGGGACTGGTGGTAGCCCACGCCTGCCGGTGTTCGTTGTTTCGGATTGGTTGTAGTGGTCTCTTTGACTCCGTTCTCCGGAAGCTCCTGAAGTTTGAAGCGGGTATAGGGGTGCGGCCGGCCGTTGCGTGTCATGAGATTGCGGGTATGATCGAGCATGCCTTCCACGTAGACATCTCCGTGATGCTCCACAGTGAGTAGCGATTGTTCGATAATGCGCTTTGTCGCATCAGGTGTCGCATCAGATGTTGTTGCATTCCGAAGCTGGTGTATAATCATGCCTTCTCGTAGTCGGTCGTGATCGATCCACTGATCTTTGAGAGCAAAGCGATCGACACCTTCCCCGCCCTTGTCGAGTATACACACCTCCCAGACGCGCGTACCCCTGCCTCGCAGACCATTTGCGCCATCGTCTGATAACCATTTAGTCGTCCGATATCGTACGACCTTTCCATTCCCATCTTGGACATCGATGTCGAGGCGGGGGTTGTCTTCTTCGTCCAACACAAGCTCGTCGTTCTTTTTGTCGTTTTTCCAGACATATTGAATCGTGGGATCCCATCCCGCTTCATGTTCAGCCGCATACATCATCGCGACGAAGAAATGAACGACCTTATGGTGCTCCTATACAGATTACAGTGAGAACAAGACATGAAGAATACGATGGAGGCACAACTCACCAACATAAAATCAATTGGTTCACTCACAAGCAGCTCTGTGCGGCTGCCGAACCACATCCGCATCGTCCTATTTTCAACTGTGAGCCCGTAAGTGAACCGGCGTCTCGCATCCTCCCGCATGCAATGATGCATGCTCCAGATAACCTTTCGAACATCCTGCCACAGCTATCAGCCAAGTATTCAGGAGCGAAATCGGATATGCTTACATCATCCTTAGTTGCAAGGGTCTCCACCTTCTTGTATTCAGCGGAAAGCGCGATATCCATCCATCGCAAGCTACGCTTATGCTGTGACTTGAGCATGAAACATCCATCCGGGCGACTTTTCGACGTCCTCATACTGGATTCGGGCGCGTCGCCTGGGTTCTGAACAAATTTGAGCAGCTGTTTCTTGCCTGTCATTGCACTTGTAACCGCCTCGATAGCTGTTGCCACATCTTCGAGAGATTTAAAGCAGCCATCCTCGCACTCGGTAGAATTTTTGGGATCCTTCGGAAATTTTGCACAACGGTTCCCTTTGATGCCTTTGCCTTTGCCTTTGCGGAGTTTGTTGACTACTTGTTTGACGTTAATATCTGCGGGAAGCGGAGGAAGGAGGTGCGTCTGGAAGAATCTGGTCGAGACCTCCGGTATGGTCGTTCCAAGATCTTGCATCACAGCTCCGCGAGCTGCATCGAGGTTGCCTTCCATGTAAGACGCGCTTTGGACAGCCTTGGTGCGGACCGGTGTTTCGCCCCGGTTAGCAGGTGTGTTGGCACTGGAGGCATCAGAGGATGGCTCACCCTCCATGTTGGTTTGTGGTCCTCGAGCGATGTATCTTGCTGCATTTTATATGACCAGAAGATGTGATCAGGAAATCCAACTTCGACACTGTGTTTAATTTCCGTGAGCTGCGAAACACGCGGAGAAGAGCCGTCAGCATGTGGCTGGAAGGACAAAGGATTAGAGAGCTATACACTCAAGTGAAAGTGAGAAACGTGGTTAGTCTCTGCCTTGGAGGAGACAATGCTTACCTGCTGTGAAGTTTGTGAGCCGCCCGGTGCTAGCACCTGTGGATCGTGCCTTCGTTCAAGTGCGTGGTCACTGACTGAATGACGGTGGCTCAAGGGCTCAAATCACAGACGCGTGTTTGGTTGATTGGCTCAATAGTGGCGATGACAGCAAGACCAGATGAATTCAGCCAAGTGGCACAGATTCCAAGATGATCTCCGGCGCCCGCATGCGGCAGCCACAGACGCATTCATCACGTGGAAGGTTGGCACAAGTCACACGCCACACTTCCACCGCAGAAAGAAGTTGAGGTTCCTAAGTATCTACAAACAGCATTCTTCTTGCCTTGTAAAGTGCGATCACGTATTTTACATCAGACATAAGCCTTTTCACTGTACACTTTGACTTATGATTGCGGCTATTGATTAGTGATCTTCTGCCTTCAAAGGAGGCCGGTATTGCTTCCCAACTTCCTGTACGACAACCCGCATTGACGTGCCACCACCGAGCGATCAAGCCACTGGAGAGGACTCGCACGCCCACACATGCATGTACTAACTCATTAACTGATTGCTCCACTGCAGCTCGTCTGCTGCACTACCCCCGCCGATATTGACGTTGTATGCCTTCATGTGTGCGGATTCCATCAGCACGAAGGTATGCGTGGCGAGACCATTCATTGGTGAGGCTCTTGCTGTCATCCGTTTTGGGCTCGACGCGAAGAGTCATAGAATCGTCGTTGTGGATGAACATATTCGCGCGGCACAGCAGTGGGGCGGTGATTCTTTGTTTTGATCCTTTATTCTGGGCCGTCTTACTCGACAGTGGCGTGATATCCTTAGTGGTAAGTAAGGAAGAAGAATAGGGCGGGTATACAATTTACAGGGTCGCTCATATCGACCCGTAGCATACATGGATCACCAATGATATCAATAACCGCTGTGTCAG